ATTAATAATCACATTCAGTGGGAACAAGAATTAAACAAAATAATTTAAAAACGGTTAACATGCACCTACAAGGAAACATGCTGTTCAACTTCTTCTCCAACTCTGGCAACTTTGTTCCTCCAACCTAAGTTTCCTATGGATTAAAACTAAGTCCCAAAGTGCTCCAAAGTTATCTAAGTTCATTACTTGTTAATCAAATTCAATTAAAGCAAGAACAAGCACAAACAGTTTCATCACGAACGGAAAAATACATACAAGAACCCATACTGTTTGAAACAAATAATTACAACCAAATTAATTTAGCTTTATTTCTTCCTGGAACTGAATTAGAGATGCAAAGAACACAGGCCAAAGAGATAGAGTTAGTAATAAAACTTGCCTGTGAGATTCGGTTCAAAAATCTCAACGTCTTTCTTCTAAGTTTTTCGGCGAATTACCTTCTTCTAACTCCCCTGATACTTCTGCCTCCAATACGTGTGGTTAGGGTTCTAAACCCTTGGCAGTCATATACAGATATATATATATATAGGCCAACTAAACCTAGGTGCAAATAAACCCTAATCCTATTACTAGACAGAAAAAAAATAAGTCGGCTAAATACGTGGCTTCCCTAAACTGATAAAACCCTAATTTAATAAATAAAACATTTAACTTAATTCAAATAAATACTAACTAACATAAACAACCAATTTAAAATAAAACAAATAATCAATTTAAGCAATTAAAGTAAAACAAAAATTTAACTAAATAACAATTTAAATAAACAAACAAACACAACAACTACAAATAACCAACTAAATAAACTAAAAACACAATTAAACATTTAAATAAATTCCAGAACTATCCTTTTAAAATTAGGGGTATTACACATTTTGGTAAGGGTTTCGTCAAAGGAGAGAGATGACTGGGGCGCCAAAATTGGACTAAGAATAAATCAATATCCCATATTTCAAATTGGAATCTAATTATTTCTTAATTAGTTTCCATGCATATAGAAGATCTGATTTTTCAGAATCAGTATCCCATACCTGTCTAATTTAGACAGCTCTTTTTTAATTTTTTGTTAGCGCCAGAATTGAGATGAATTTGGGAGGAAAAAAAAAAGAAAAAAGAAAAACAGAAAGAGAGAAAGGGGAAGGGGATTAGAGAGATGGATAATTTTATTGGATTGGAGGAATATTGTTGGTAGATAGGCGAAAAGCTTGAGCATCAACAATCAGATTGACAAAAGTTTAAGCGATTTCACCGGCGAATTTTCAAGGACCTAAATTAACGTGTTGTTCTGGCGAGCTCTGAGCTTCGACGTTGATGAAAACCGGCGAGAGCTCTGTGCTTTGACTTACATGAAATCTGACGTGAGCCTGGACTGACCCCCAGCAGCGAGCTCCGTTCATCTAGTTCCGGTGAGTCTCGACTGACCCAGTGCTAGGTTCTTAATTGGCCTAATCCGGCCGGGGCGACAGTAACCGAGTTTCTCTCTCTGCATTCTCACATATCTGCAATCATCTTTCACACGTCTCATCCTTCTCCTCATAACTCTCACCACTATCTTCAACACCGTCACTTTTTAGTTGGACTCGGACCGAGTCACCAACCTCATCAACCTCCAATCTCGATCCAAATCTGGGATCATCTACCTCAACGTCTAACTCCTCAACCACTTCATCACCTCTTCCAATCGCTCCCGCAACCTCAAGGATGATTCGCTTTCAGATGGACGCCGGAGGCTTCTCTCAATTGGGCGAGTCCATGGCCGAATTCATCAACTCCAAAACCAAGCTCACCATCAGTGTCTATAATTTGGGGAAAGAGAGGGGAACGAAAGATGACGTGGACGGGGTTCAAGGTTTGATTTAATGACCAAGGTTGCTGTTGGTGAGATGATGAATTTGGGTGGTAGCACGGTTGGGCATAGATGAGTATAGAGAGTGTTTTTGGGTCTGCAAATAGGAAGAAGGTCTGCAGTTGGTTTGATATTGTTTGCCAAACTGCATCATTTTATTAGAAGAGCAACTTTGTCTTTTTTCTTTTCCGGTGACCTAAATGGGCAAATTGAACAAATTCAAAGTTGAGGGGGGTTTCTTGTAGTTTAGGGGGGTTAGTTGCAAAACCCCCATAGTTCAGATTTTTTTTTTTTTTTTTTTTACCCTATTATTCCCATAACAATCTCACATAGATGAAAATCAATATAATATTTATTTTTTACTATCTATATGGGTTTGAACTGTGTGATTTTCGCAAAGAAAAAATTGTATGGAAGTGGTTCATATTCATAAAATATGAAAGGAGACTGATAAATTATATATGAACCATAAAATTATTATGCATGTACTATAAAATATTTACTTTTGCATGACAAATTTTATCTTAGAGTGTTTCTTCGAGGGGGCTTAAAAAAAAAACATAGTTAATAATTCAATAAAACTTTAGTATGTTATGATAAATGAACTATATTCTACATATAAATATAAATAATTATTATTAAAAACAAAAAAATAAAAAAGAATCTGACAACTAAAATGCAGTCCTCCTTAGTTTGTATGATTTAAATATGAATATAAATAATAATAATAATTATTAATAATCCATTAGTTTACTATTTATTTGTTAAAAATTAATATAAATAATTGTGTATAAAGATGATTCATTTAACACAAAATTAATTTATTTTTTAATATTTGAAATCATGAGGGTAGTTTTGGTAAGTAAATCATTTTCTTTTCCCTTTCGTACTATCCAAACTAATAAAATAATATTTTTCCACAACAAAATTTTTCTTGCTAACCAAATGCACACAAGAAACTTGATTTTCCTTTATTTCACTTTCATTTTCCTTCATAAATTTCTGTCTAACCAAATGGACCCTAGGGAAATAAAGTTTATATATTACTTTTACCAATATACCCTTATTAATGCAACATGGCTTAAACAAACAAACTTTTTAGAATGTTAAAAATGTAAATTATATATTTGTTAGTTATAACCATTCTTTCTCTCTCATCTTTCTCCAATTTTGGGCTAATAGGAAGACATAAATGAATGAGGGATGCTTTATCCCTCATTGTTTCCTCTCTATCTTCCTTTCCCTCTAACCAAACATGAAAGAGTGATTTTATCCCTCATTTCATCCATCCCTTTCCGATCCTTCCCTCCAACCAAATATACCATTAGTGGGTTTATGAAATAACATTGACAGCCTAATCAGTGTTATTTTGAAGTGAAAGTAATAAATGACTATTATACCCATGATGTTTTTAGCACTACAAAAATACGGACAAAATAGCGATTTAAGTAATTGTTGAATGTTGAACATGACATTTTATATCAAGGACATTAATGTTATTTACACCTTAATTACCAGGGAGATTAGTATTAATTTTGAAACTAGAAGGGAGGTTCCTATTATTTGAGATTTTTCAAAAGAGTTAAATGTAATTATCCCTTTTAAATAAATAAAAAATGATTTGTTGAATCTCAATATTTTGACTTTAAAAAATATTAATAGCATCCATACACTATAATGCAAAAACACACGTTTGAATTTATTTTATTTTGTCAAAATTAATCATCGCCGCAACATTTCATGACTATAAAATAATGAAACTTGAATGATCGTATATTGTTGCAATGGAATAATCATATATTGTTGCATGTTATCAGGGGCGTAGGCAGGAAATTGGTTTAGCTGGGGGCATATTAAGCCGGACTATTATTATTTTTTTCCCAACTAACTATAGCAAAAAAACAGACCGAAAATATAACAGTGTAACGACACTGCATTAGAATAAGTGAATAAATTTGAATAAGAAGAGAAAAAAAGAAGAAGATTACAACACATAAATTATGCATTAGTGCAAGAAAAAAATGAATTTTAAAGAAGAAAAAGGAAAATAAAAAAATATGAGAAAAAACTTTGAAGGAAAAAATAAGTTTTAATTGTACAAAAGAATGCCTAAGTTTTTTAAGACAACAAAAAGAAATTTGAAGATAAGAAGAAAAAGAAATAAAGAATTAAAGTGGTTTTTAGAAATAGATAATTTTATGGGGGGTAATTTATAAATTTTAGGGAGGAATTTTGTAAATATTTACAAATGTTATTCCTAGAATAGAATAAAATTTAGTGGACTCGTAAGCACAAGGGCAGAGAGGGTATGTTATCAAATTTTAGGGGGGCATTTATCAAATTTTTATAAATTGTAAGCATGGAAAAAAGAAAATCCTAATAGGCCAGCATGGACGTGCTGGCTCCTCGCCTACCCGTTTTACAAAGACAATATTATTTCCTCTTATAAAGTCATACTATTATCAAATGTAACTTTATAACAACACACCCTTAAAATATATTATTAGAAAATTAATATTAGAACTATAGTGCTTTAAATAACAAAATAAAAAATATTTTAATTTTGAAAGTATTTAATAAAATGAATTACCAAAAATCGAACATGTTCTTTACTACCATTAATTTTATGAAAACTTTGTTAGTAAAAACCTTTTTAAATTTATTTATTTATTTTTTTATCACAAAACAAAGCTAAACATTCAATTATTCAAATTTAGGAAAAAAAAAAAAACATTCAATTATTCAAACTCATAAAAAATAATTAAAACATACCCACTCAAGTGACAGGACAGAAGGTAAAAAAAGTTAGATTGGTTCCATAAAAGTGAATACATTACACATTCAAGAAAAAACAACACTATATATTATCGCGGAGATCACATTCTATTTTATTTAATTTTCTTTATTACTTATGTTAAAAGGTAGGTCACATTTTATTTTATTTAATATTTTTAAATATTTGTTTATGAAAAATAATTCATGAAATAATTATAATGAATTGTTAAATTTTCTATTTTAATAAACAAATAAAAAAATAAGACACTTTAATTATATTTAGTATAAATAGCTAATTAAAAATTATTTTATTAATAAATTTATTTATTTCATTAAAATATCAACATATCGATTGCATATTTATATGTTTTGTTTACACAAAAACCCCCCCTCTCTAAAAACGATCTCTATATACAATTTGGAAAGGAGATCCATGGCCGAGGATGAAGTCCTCGTTGAAGTCGAAGCTGTTCAATCAGTATACGGCGACGACTGCGTTGTTCTTGACAGATACCCTCCCCATCTCCACATTTACATCAAGCCCCGAACTGCAGATGTCTCGTCCCAACAGGTCCCCACCGTCGATTCAGTTTTTACATCAGTTCTTGATCTTTTGATTCTTTTCATATTGTTATTACTTATGCTAGTATGCGTACTCGGGTTTCGGATGCCCAATTTTTATACCCTGCACTGAATTTTGTAATAAAAAAGACATTATTAATTATGCCACTGAATAATTTTTGATGATAAGTACTTATGCTACTGAATATCAAAGTTATCGATTATCTCATAATATAAGTCATTCCAACATTGGTGACATAGATGGATAATATGGGGTTACTATGGGTAGGTTTATTTATATTTTTATTTTTTTGATTGGCTGGGCATACAGTAGATCTACCCTTTAATTGACATGGATAGAGTTAATGAGGAAATATATTATAGCATGTGATTTGAATGAGGTGATTGTTAAGACACTCCAGCATAGTCAACAGTATTGTCTGCATTGGGGTTTTCTCAAGGCTTTAAAACTCGTTGTTAAGATATGATGTGCAATCATCTCTTAGTAAGAAGCATAGAAATGGATACGGGACACGGATATGACACAACACAACACGGATATTGCGACATGTATGATGTTGTACTTTAAGATACCAAGAGTAATATTTTTTTATCAACCTAATAATGAAATATTTTTGTGTTGTACGGGGGAAAAGAAAGAATTATAGAAAGAGAGTTAAGAAAGAGAAACGAACGAAGAAACAAAGAGGATTATGGTTTGTTAGAAAAATAATTAGGGCTTAGTTAAAAATAAAATCCACGGAAGAGAAAAACTTCATGGAAACAAAAGGAACATGGAAAAGGAGATGCAAAAAGAATATTACTGTGGAAGGGAAAAAAGGAAGTATTTAGAATTTGTGAGGAAGAAGAAAGAAAAGAGGAGGATGAAGAAGGGAGAACAAGAGAGAGTAAAAAATGATCATGCAAGGGTTTGAACGAACTAAAATATAAGCATAAATAGCTGATTGTTTTAATATAAAATTATTTTATAAAACAACAACTTTTAAGTAATTATTTTATGATCATCATATTCCTGAAAGTTATTAAACAACTCCTTATTTTTACACTTCAACCCATATTTTTTTCTAAACCCCAAGAATGTGACACGCTTGTCAGACACTTATCCATGGTGTGTCGGACGTGTGTCCAAATATTAAAAAAATTTCAATCACATTTTTTGGTGTGTCTGACACATGTCGGGGCGTGTCTGAATTGTGTCGATGTTTGGCATGGATTCCTTTCCTTCTCAGTCATGTCCGTGTTTCCTAGATCCCTTATATTCTGAGCAACTTTTACCTTTTCAAGCAACGTGGGAACCTGTCCACAGGTATCCACCACGCTCCTATGCAGTATGCATATGTTCACAATCTGGGAAGGTAGAAGTTGCTGAAACACAAGGGAGGATTGCATGCCATATGTTAAAAATGCATTTTAAAGTTGCAATGAGAACCCAAAATGGACAATATTGTTGACTATGGTGGTGGGTCCTGACTCCTGACAGCTATACCTTAGATACACTGGAATCAAAAAATAGGTAGCTGTCTCCAAGTAGTTGGGAAAAAGTTTTGTTGAGTTGAGTTTAGGGATCCAATGAAGTAAGATAGGGATAATATGGGTTGAATTACTGGTTATAATTCTGAAGACACACAATCCTTTTTTTTGATAAGTAAAAAGACACACAATCCTTATTGCAGCCTAAGATGTTTCACACAACAGGGGTGATTTCTGTTTCTGATTCTGAATGGTTGTCATCAAGCATCCTTCTTTATGGTAATAATGGGTTTCTTTACTCTTCAAAGACGGTGAGCTGAAGATGTTTAGCACCAACGAGAAGTGAATAAGTTATTGAAGCTATTCGTTCCTTTTCCACCATGCCAGCTCCATCGCTGTTGCATTCTGATGAGCATTTTTTTTGTAATTCTGTGAGTTTCGCTGTTGCAACATGATAATGAAATCTCTTGCAGATTCAATCATTTGATGGTACTTATGTGAACAGTGTAAAGGAAAATATACAGAAGTATATGTGTTTCGTGCTTTATTGAAACATTATTTTATGTTGAACCAACATTGTTTGTTATGTTTTGCCATGGCTGAGTTGCTGCCATTGTTGTCCTTTGCAGTTTGTGGAAGCAGTCCTTGGGATACAAGCAGGTCCTCAGGTACTTTTTAGCCTAAATATATCAATACAACCCCTGCAGTTTGTGAGAAAAATAATCATGTCATGGTCATGTGTTTGTTTAGCTGATTATAGTGAAAAGCATAAGCACTTATGTCAATTGCGAGAAGTTCATTAACCTAATTTTTTATTTAGTAATTTAGTTTTTTTTTTCCTCAAAATACTGAGGCAGTAGGTTACGATTGATGAGCTTTTATTTATTTTGGTTAGTTGCAAAAAGCTTTCTGTATTATTCAACTTTTGGCAAGCTGTCCCCAAACTAAAGATAAAGCATATCATCACATTCAATTATAAAAAAGAATTGCAAGATACTCCCCTCCAATTTCAATGGAGTTGTGTTTCTGTTGTTTTATGTGATTGTAGAAATCCTGCCAAGTTATTGGAGTGTTCTAAAGAATGGCTATAAGGTCAACCATTTTTGTCATAGAACCGAATGTTATACAGTTGAGAAACATATATAGAGAATGAATTGGAATAGAAGAAAAGATGGAACGTGACACAGATGATTCCTGGTAAGTTAGATGTGTAACTAATCCAAGATAAGATGATGGAAGTTGTTTTAGATGAGTTTGTCACGTAGTGTAAAACAACAAATGCATTAATCATCATCATCATCATCATCATCATCATCTTTGCCTTTATCCCAAATGAATGGGGTCGGCCATATGAATTCTCTCTCTCCAATATAACAGGTGCGTGTGTGAAAAAATGGACAGTTTGATCTCAAACTGCTGGTGGGATGGTTATGAAGAGAAGAGGGGAATTCACTGGAAAAGCTGGAAAATTCTCACTTGAGTGAAAGAAAATGGGGATCTAGGCTTCAGGGATAATTGGAGAGAGAGAATTCATTAATATGTGAGAAATTTACTCCAAGTTGAAGAGGCAAAAAGGTAAGGCATAAGGTAAAAACAAAAACAATGTAGGTTGAGGTTGTGAGAAAGGATGTGATTGGGATTTAATCGAGGACATGGTTTTGACTGAAAAAGACAGATCTTTGTACCAGCGCTAATAGTTGGCGTTAAGTCTTTCAGTTTTGAGTTGATTTGGTACAAGATTGCATAGTATAATTTGTCATGTTCCTTATATTCTGTAATTTTCTGGCAATTTGTTCTACATACTTTTTCTTTTACTTGTGCCTTTTCAAGTTGAATTCTTACTTGGTTTATCATTTTTCGTTGCAATTGTGAGACACTTTTACATTAACCTCTACCCTTCTTTTCTTTTTTGTTGGTGTGTGGCAGTATCCTGAAGAACCACCTCATATTAATATTATTGAGTCCAAAGGTCTTGATGTGCAAAGGCAAAAGAATCTGATAACTAGTATTTCTGACAAAGCTCATGAACTTTCCTCTTGTCTAATGCTTGTAGCACTTTGTGAGGTAATTGTTGCACAACTCTGGCAAATTGCTTGGCTGGTAAAAGTACATGCTATTCTACTCGAAGGTGAAAATTGGCTGAAAAAATTATTTCAGTTCATGATATGTTGGTATTATCTGTGTGCACAATCAGTTTCAAGCCTGAAAAGGAGGTTAATTTAGCTCTTTAATTGCCAGTTTAATACCCTTGTAATACTCGCATGGCTATGAATCTTGAGAATATTCAAGTAAATGCTACTTTGTTTTCTTTTAAAAATGCGTTGCATCAATCACATGGTGCTTAATAAAATGGGAAAGCAGCACCGTTTTGGTGCTTTGATGTTGCGGGTAAGGGTTCTCATGCTATTCTGGACAAGTGCAATTAAAGAAGTTATTACAAGATAGTCAGCTTAGATTAGTAATTCGAATATAGCAACATTGGCAAGTAAAGGGATGGAGTTGATGGACATTATGGTTCGTATTATGCCTAATAAAGTATGCCTATAATAGTTGACAAGAATTCAAAATAAGTTGTAAATGTTACTAGATTATGATATGATAATATTTAATAAATATTTATCAGATAAAATATAATTAATATGATTATCACTTATGCAACTGAGTAAGCTTGACGAACACATTAATACAATCTTCGAAACACAAGGATGAACTATTTTAAGGTTTACCTGAAGGAAATATTATTTTGATGACCATGGTCATGTAGGCTAAGGTTGTGAAGGGTATCAGATGGTGCATGATGAACATGGATTTGAAGCTCAGAATGTCCTCAAGGCGGTTGTCATAAACTTTGCAGTGACACATGCTGTTATGAATGCGAATACCTATTCTAAAGACAAACACTTACTGATAACCTTAAGACGATCAAACAAGAGGCAGATTGATTATTTTAATCCTTCTGACTAGAAGAAAAGAAGGCATACTAAGAAGTGTCAAAGATTATTTTAGGAGATTGCTTGACATTGTAGCATAACTTGATCGTTTAGGATGCATATGTTAAATATCAATAAAAGAAATACTAAAGATTAAAACCCAATAATTAGGTATTGGATTTTAAATGGGAAGAAAGTATAATTATTTAAGAATGGGATGATAAAAGAAGTTAAATGAAATTAATGTAATGTGCAATAGAATGACCAAATGTGTTAAAATTATTTCAGAAAAGGTTATTGAAGAATCAAACTAAAATGACCATTATCTAAGAAAACATGGTGGGATGTTCAAATCGTAGTAAGAACCAAAAATTAAAAGGGAAGATTTTACAAAATTTAGAAAATATTTTAAAAATACAAATATGTAAAGGATAAAGTTGTGAAAGTAATAGGAGGCGCTAAGCATAGAGCATATGATGATCTTTATTTTAAATTATGTATAAAGTCCAGGAAGAAATATAAAAACTTTATGGGACTTAAAAGACTGCGTATTCTTATCAAAGTTGATCAGGAATGAGGATTCAAATATCCTAGTGAAAGTTGGTGAAATTATAGAATTTGAAAAAGTTACTTTGAGAAGTTGAATGAAATCATGTGGGAAACTTAGATTTAGAAATCATGGTAAACCTTAGTGAAATTAGTGAAAACAAAATTTTCGTAGGATTAGGATGTCAAAGTTGGAAATGCATTTAGGAACTTGAAAACAAGAAGGGGTTGCAAGACTATATGGTATTTCTATTGAGGCTTAGGAGTGTTTAGTAAATGATTGTATGTCCTTGACTAATAAAATCATTCAACAAGACCACAGCAACCACAAAAATGCTTGATGAGTGGTGAAAAAGTATTCCGACACCAGGATAAATAAACATAATTAGAGCTGCATTCTCTAGGATAAATCAACGTAATTAGAGCTGCATTCTCTTGCTCAATGTTATGTATACATGTGGAAGGACAAGCAACCAGGTAATAATGCAGCGCTTCGAGATTTTATGTTGTTAACTTGTTGTGCAATCATCCAATCTTATTTTAAGATGCTGTATATCACAAATTTTGATAATTAAAAAATTGTGGATAATAAAATTTTAAATTACAATGAAGCTTAAGTTGTTTTTGGAAGCACCAAGGTGCTGACTTGGTGCTCCTAGACATAGCTTTATTATAGTATTTCCAAACCTAGGGATATACTGCTTTTGATTTTTGCGTGAGAATGCATGTTCACTCACTTTAATTTTTTCAAGGTTCAATGAACGGCCAAATAGCAAATAACGCTTCTATGTGAATTCAGTTTGGCTATACGACTTTTTAACACTCTCAAACATTTAGAAAAAATTAAAAATAGTTTCAGAATAAAGTTATTATTATTATTTTTAATTTCTTATGGAAGCTGTTGCACCGGAAACAATACAAGCTTAGCTTATTCTACTCTTTCTATCAGAACTTTATTAACCTCTCCTACTACTGAATATAACATCCCTCTCTATATACACACTTCTATATATACCTTTGGATTTGGAGCCTAGCCTGTTTGGTTCAGCTTTTTGAAAATAGTACTCAAGAACTCAGAAAACAGGCAACTGTTTTTAGAGTACTAGAAAAGACACAGTTATCTAAAAACAGATTTTTTAAAATTTAGTTTTCATAAAACAATTTTTAGAAAATTACAACCAAACATGTTTCTGAACTGTTCTCTGATTTTGAGTTCTCTCAAAACAGAAAACTGAACCAAATAGATCTCTAGAACTTCCACTATATATATATACACATATATATTCTTGTGATGCGTAGACTTCACAAAATATTGATTGATCTAAATGTATTACTAGGAAGCAGTGGAAAGGCTCTCTAGCATGAATCACCCTGATGGGAATTGTCCGTTGTGTCTGTTTCCTCTGGTTGAAGAACCGTTTATGAAATTGATGTCTTGTTTTCACTGCTTTCATTGGTAAAGTGCTGGTCCTTCCCTCCATTTTTAGATTATACATTTTTTGGGATAAGAACACTTGCAGAATTTGGTTTAATTTGTTCATTTATTTATATTTTTAATTGTGGCAGTGAGTGTATTATTAGGTGGTGGAATTGGCTACAGACACAAACAGAAACAGATCCAAAACATTCATCTCGTGCTGTACATCCTTCCAGAGATAAAGGAAATCAACAAGGTACACTATGCAATGGATAAGGTGAAAGTTCGGGGGGAATTTTGGTCATTTTAAAGTTTGTTCATTGAGCATTTAGAGTTCTTAAGGACATTGATTAATCTATTGCTTTTGCTGTTTTACTTGAGATTTCAAAGTGAGTTTTTTTGTTTTTGCATTTTTTAGCATTTAATGAGTTAGTGTTGTTTAATCAGCACACACTTGTAGTAAACAAGTTTCACTGATTTTATTCTATCTTGTAAGAACAATTACGGTTTTACTATGGTCGGGGTGATCAGGGTGTCATACTGATAGTCTGAATGTTGATGTTAATGTGTCATAGTACCAAGTGTGTTTAATGCTCTGTACAAAATGTGGTTACCAAGTGCACATTGCATGATATATTTAGCACGTGCACGGCAGGCATATGATCTTGTGGTGATGTGACAGAGCAGACACAGTATGCTATTACCACTATCATGTTTCATATCGCAAAGATTATGCTGCTTTTTTTTTTTTTCCTTTCTTTCCTTTATTTATTTATTTATTTTTTATCATGTCAAATATGATATATAGTTTTATGTCATTAATATTGTTTCCAGTGGCACTTTTCATGTAAATAACTGGTCCATTTGTTGCATAGGCATTCATGCCACAACGGAAGATAGTATGGGTAGCTGCCCTGTATGTCGTAAGCTTTTCCATGCGAAGGATATTGAGCATGTGCTTGACTTGGTTGAAACTCATTCTCAGTTGGTACGTCACAAATTATCCAAGTCCTCACTATATCTTGCTCAAGTATTTATTTTCATGTTCACTTTATAAACTCGTGTACTTTTAACATGCTATCTCCTTCTATGTGTAGTACCATTGATTCATGTATTCATTCTCTTGAGAGTTTTTGTATGGATGCACTCTTCAATTATGAATTGGCTAGTTGCTTCAGGCAATGGTACTTAGACAACAAGCGTGAGGATGTAGGTTTGAGTCTCACTCATCTCAGAGCAGTCATTTTGTGCAAAAATAATGCCAAATATTAGGTCTGTCTCCAGTCTTTGCGCACTACCACCCCTGGTAGGCAAGACGAGGGAAATGGTCTTTTTTACTCTTTATTTATTAAGACATTAATGAGTGAGGAAGGTAGGAGGTACGGGAAAGGCATATCTAGAGGAAGGAAGCCATAATTTTTTTTTTTTCCTTCTGAGCAGTTTGGATGTCATATTTTTACTGTTACACCATTCATATGTCAAAGAGGTGTAACCATGTAAGGCAAAAAGGTAAAAGAAAAGGGTAGGGTCCTTCCTTTCCCTCCTCTTTCTTTCCACTTTTGGAAAAAAAGAATATGATCAGTCTTCAAAGAAAGAAATTTTTGGAAACTATATTTATTCCTCTCTTTTTACTTGCATCCACTTTTCACACTACCAAAACCATTAGAGAACAGCTGGATGACTTTGGTACAGGTTCACTTCAAATTAGGCTGCTCTAAACCTGGGAATATGACATTTTCTTTAGCTTTCTAAACTAGTTGCTTTTTAAACTTACATGGACATTGATGAGGTGGTCAACACGATAGCTCAGGAATAGTCTTAGGTTCAAATCTTCTGGGCTTACATTATGAATGTGGTGCCTGTGGTTTTAGGGGTGATTGCCTGCATCTATGGGGAACTGGTCTTGATTGAGAAAGTATAAAGGAATCCCTCCCCTCCCCACCCCCAGCAGAACTGGGTGGTGTGATGCCAGGGTTTCCTTTGGACACTAGAGTCATATTTTCAAGTTTTGATGACCTGGTGTGGCATCGGGTTTTGTTGGACTCGAGAGGGTAGTTTTCTGTATGGATGGTTGTGGGCACTCTTTTGACTTTTCAAATAGTCACGCTGGTAATGTTTGTTTGATGTAGCTGGGCACTATGTGACACCTACAAGTACAAAGAAATCCCTCCCCTCCCCACGCCACCCATAGCGAGTTTGTTACTTTTCAAAATTTGTTATGTAAATATTTAGATATTTCAGATACCAAGATTTTTTTTTTTTTAATAAAAAATTAACCCATATTTATTGAAACTAATAGCATTTTTCATGTTGGTTTTCTAGAGTTCCAATGGAACCGATGTCAATGACAGGCTGCTTCAATGTGATTCAGAGAACATTAGAAGACAGAAATTTGAGGCCATATTAAAAATACAGCAAGAGAACAGTGGCTTAATTGAACCCAAAAGAAATGAAGTATTGTTGCCGGGTATGTTTCTTCCCCGGCCGATCGCACCTCCCACAACTGTGTTGGACAAAGAAGCCACCGAGCAAGACCAAGATCCAGCAGTGAACTCCGGAACAAATTTAAGTGGTTCCTTGAATAGGCCTAGCACCAGTGGGCAGAGAAACTCGGGCATGAGGAAACACAGAGTACGAAACTCAAGAAAACCAGTCAAGCAGTGGATGAAGAAAGACGATGTGAAATAAGCTAGGAATGAAATTTTGAAGTTTTTCTTGGTGCTTCCTATAACTATATTTAAAAATCAAAAATCAAAATGAAAAAAATGTTTCTTTCATCAATGGACTGACTGGTTAAAATCTGGCTTATAGATTTATCATGTCCCTTTTTCTTTGGATAATGTATCATGATACTTAAATCTAGAGTATGAAATACAAATTCGTATGAATTTCAAAATTTGATTTTGTTGTAATTTTCTTATCTAATCCAACTGAAACCAAAGTACATTCACATGATCAAAGTTTTGAACCCCCAAATAATTGTTGGTAGTATGGAGGCCGCACAAATTACATTGCTAGAAAAATTTCCAACCAAACAGATTGAGACTCAAAATTAAAGACAGTTTTCTATTCCCGTTCTCTGAGTAGGGTTCAACTCCACTCTTATTTCGGGGCGTGTTTGTAATTGGTATGCTATTTTCGCCCCTACTTCTGCAGACAAAGTACTGACTTTGCTCCGCGTACTTCGTTTACTTATGGGGGCGGATTATGTTACTTTTATTATTTAGTAAGAAAAATTAGTCCAATGTGTTCAAATTGGACTGATAAATAAGCATATCCGACTTTTAAATTACTAAGGAGTGAATATTAATATATCAACTAACACTTATAGCAAAGTAACAATAAACTGGCCCTAAGAACTTGTAACAAGTGGCTTCCACCTGTCTGCCAGCAATCCGACTAACTACAGTTAGAAAATGGCCCCCCTCCAATTGTCTCTTTCTCTCTCTCTCTCTTCTCTCTCTTCTAAAATAGTTAGCCATTTATCATTAAAAAAGTGTAGTTATTTTCATCATGAATTGTCATTTTCTCCTTCTATGTCCTAGTATATATATTTTTCATAGAGTTGAAATAGGTTATCATTTGATTCCATCGTATATGATCGATATAATTACAAATGTATAATTTTAGACATTAGGCGGTCTCCGTCATGTCAGGAAAATATTATTTTAGGTTGAAACCAACTTGGTCCCAAACATGCATGGCACATGCCCTATGGTCTCAACGTTCAGTGAAGATAGACTCAAATTTTGATACACCACATTCAATTAATATCTCATTTCTTACTATTAATTTTGATGTTAAGTTAAAAATGTCAAGAACTCATGATTACAGTGAATAATAGGTTGATCTTTATTAAATTTATCACCATTTTTTTTATAGAGTTTGTCTTCTATAAAAATAAGGATAAATTTGGTGTTAAAAAAGTTTAATCCTTCTCTTTTCTCCATCTTTTGGGAGGATAACAAAACCATCTAATAATGTTTTAATGTATCCTTTCAAATCATTCCACTCTATTTCCTTTCATTCATTTTCAAAATTTTATAAGAAAAACTATATCCCTCCCTTTTTAAAATTTTTTTTTTTCTTTTCTTTTCCTTCCATTTCTTTTCTACCAATCTGGCTTAATTGATAGCATTCCTAAAGGTAAGAAAAAAACTATGATGGATATTCTCAGAGTGATAGCCTTGTCATTCAAAAATTGAAATTCGTTGAATATGATACAACAGTCAAGTAAAGTCACAAAATTTTATGACGCGACACACATCACGTATATGTTTGCCAATATAACAACATTACACACAAAATTTTGTGATATGACTCGCATCATATATCCTTTGTATATATGTCTCCCAATATAACAACATTACCCTCAGCGAGGAATCTTCAAGAAGATGTAAAGGGTGGTCGAATTTTTTTCATTTTTTGAAATAATTATATGAAATGGAGGAAGAATTGTAGACTTAGCTGCAGTTCAGTTCAGAGAAAAGAAGAATTGGATGTCAAAATGCACATCTTCTTAGGCCCACAGGCCATTTCTTAATTTAATAGAGCCAGAATGACCAGACCCTAAAAGAGTGACAATGACTCAGATGCACTATTCATATCATGTTGACACCTCACATTTTTCCTTTTCGAATTATATATGTATATATATATAAACTCTGTATATGAATTGTGGCACTTGAGAAAATGGTGTGGAAAAATTGATAATTAAAGTTTCTTAGGCTCGGGACGAAAAAAACGAATGGCTTATTAAGAAACTGTTTTACTTTTAGTAGCCATTTCAAAAAGCTCGGTTTCGCTTCGTATGGTGGAATCCCAATCCTCCTAAAATAGATTACAGTACAAATGAAAGTGAAAGAGTGACTAAAAAATTAATTACGATTTATTGATGTTTGCTTTCTGTCTTGATTATCAAGAAAAAATTCTACTTCTAGAAGCCATTTTAAAACGCTTGATCTCGCTTCGATCAAATAGTGAAATCCCAATCCTCCTATGAATTATAGTTTAGACCACCTACAACTAACTCATCTGGGACACTAACAGGCTTACATTAGCCTTCGTTCAGTTCAAGGAATCACCCAAACTAGGAAAATAGATTCTTGAATGACAGCTTATAAGTTGTCTGCTATAAGTTTCCTCCTTCTAAGGCTTTTTGTTGTGCCTTTTCAGTTTGTTGCTGGTGTTAGTCCTTTGGCCTTTGCTTCTGCAGGCTTGCTTGCAGCCTGTTTTTTGGGGTCATGCCTTTTGTTTATATTTTCTTGCTTGCTTTACAATTTTATTTATTTATTATATTTATTTTTTGGCAATGACAAACAACTACCACAAATTCACAATGCTAAATATAACGTCATCCAGATTGTTGCGGTCGGGTCACTCTGACTAACCGAGAGCCACACTAAATTGAATCACAATAATTTTTGTGATGGACATCTTGATAAAAATTTGCGGATGTCAATTTCAAGAGATAAATTTTCAAGTTTTGTGTGCCAGTCCACATGCATTACAATACAAATAATAATAAACCTGTCAAAGGAAGTGATGGCCTCCAAAAGAAGGTATCCTAGTGTCAACTTTTACTTTGTTCTTACAATGCATTGGCAATTATTAAAGGACATTTCACTTCAAAGATCCAATCATTCTACAAAAAAATCGATAGGAATATCTGATCATTTCCAAAGTAAAAAAAATTTGCTTGGCTGGATAAGGATATACTACTATTTGATATCAATTCTAAATTGAAGATCAGAGATTTGAATGTCCTTTCTATTGGTTTGCAGTTGAGTACCCCATCTCTTATTCCAATTTCCCTTGCCAATTTTATCAATCAATGCCATTCCTTTGAGCCATATCACACACACACAAAACACACACAAATAAGTTGGATCCTAAATTCAGGAAGGAATAAAGTGGGGAATTGTAGATGGAGAAGAAAAAAACACAAATGAGTAAGATCCCGTACATCAAAGGTTGAAAGCTCATAGGAAAATAGGCACATCAAAGGTTGATATATACTTGCAATTCAAATAGGCACATATGAAATTTGGAAATCTTTACACATTAGGAAAGTATATGAATACATTTGGAAAGAAGACAAATTACACCCCTCAAAAAGAAAGAAAGAAACAAAATGTTAGCTAGAATCCAGAAAACAAATCCCTAGTAGCTGAAAGCTCCTCATCATCTAGCTAAAAGAAGTAATATTATATTGTGCCCAATCCTTCTAATAATTGCTCGGAATGTCCTTAAGGCGGTTGTTCGTAAACTTTGAAGTGACACATGCCGTTACGAATGCGAATACCTATTCTAATAACCTTAAGACGATCAAACAAGAGGCAGATTGATTATTTTAATCCTTCTAACTAGAAGAAAAGATGGCATACTAAGAAGTGTCTAAGATTATTTTAGGAGATTGCTTGACATTGTAGCATAACTTGACCGTTTAGGTGGCATATGTTAAATATCAATAAAACAAATACTAAAGATTAAAACCCAATAATTAGGTATTGGATTTTAAATGGGAAGAAAGTATAATTATTTAAGAATGGGATGATAAAAGAAGTTATATGGAATTAATGTAATGTGCAATAGAATGACCAAAAGCGTTAAAAATATTTCAGAAAAGGTTATTGGAGAATCAAACTAAAATGACCATTATGTAAGAAAACTTGGTGGGATGTTCAAATCGTAGTAAGAACCAAAAATTAAAAGGGAAGATTTTACAAAATTTAGAAAATATTTTAAAAATACAAATATGTAAAGGATGAAGTTGTGAAAGTAATAGGAGGCGCTAAGCATAGAGCATATGATGATCTTTATTTTAAATTATGTATAAAGTCCAGGAAGAAGTATAAAAACTTGCTAAGTTATGGGACTTAAAAGACTGCGTATTCTTATCAAAGTTGATCAGGAATGAGGATTCAAATATCCTAGTGAAAGTTGGTGAAATTATAGAATTTGAAAAAGTTACTTTGAGAAGTTGAATGAAATCATGTGGGAAACTTAGATTTAGAAAATCATGGTAAACCTTAGTGAAATTAGTGAAAACAAAATTTTCGGAGGATTAGGACGTCGAAGTTGGAAATGCATTTAGGAACTTGAAAACAAGAAGGGGTTGCAAGACTATATGGTATTTCTATTGAGGCTTAGGAGTGTTTAGTAAATGATTGTATGTCCTTGACTAATAAAATCATTCAACAAGACCACAACAACCACAAAAATGCTTGATGAGTGGTGAAAAAGTATTCCGACACCAGGATAAATACACATAATTAGAGCTGCATTCTCTAGGATAAATACACGTAATTAGAGCTGCATTCTCTTGCTCAATGTTATGTATACATGTGGAAGGACAAGCAACCAGGTAATAATGCAGCGCTTCGAGATTTTATGTTGTTAACTTCTTGTGCAATCATCCAATCTTATTTTAAGATGCTGTATATCACAAATTTTGATAATTAAAAAATTGTGGATAATAAAATTTTAAATTACAATGAAGCTTAAGTTGTTTTTGGAAGCACCAAGGCGCCGACTTGGTGCTCCCAGACATAGCTTTATTATAGTATTTCCAAACCTAGGGATATACTGCTTTTGATTTTTGCGTGAGAATGCATGTTCGCTCACTTTAATTTTTTCAAGGTTCAATGAACAGCCAAATAGCAAATAACGCTTCTATGTGAATTCAGTTTGGCTATACGACTTTTTAACACTCTCAAACATTTAGAAAAAATTAAAAATAGTTTCAGAATAAAGTTATTATTATTATTTTTAATTTCTTATGGAAGCTGTTGCACCGGAAACAATACAAGCTTAGCTTATTCTACTCTTTCTATCAGAACTTTATTAACCTCTCCTACTACTGAATATAACATCCCTCTCTATATACACACTTCTATATATACCTTTGGAT